TATATATATATATTTTTTTTTTTATTATTTTTTTTTTTTATGTATAAAATTAATATAAAGTACACTTAAAAATTATTTAAAATGTAATAACGTATTATATTAATTTTTATTATTTAAATAGATGAAAAAAAATGCATTTCTTTAATTATAATATGTTTTTTTCCTTTATGCTTTTCAGTTTTTATGGAACAGGCCTGATCGCTGGTCACGGCTTTACGAGTCCAGAGCGCACGCCGGGTCTGTTCATCCTGTTTGATGACGACCGCTTTGGCTTCATTTGGCTGGAGCTCAAGTCTTTCAGCCTGTACAGTCGGCTGACCGACCAGCTGTCCCACGCTCAGGCCCCCAGCATGGAGCGCTTCGAGGCCATGCTCTGCAACATGCAGTCATGGACATCCTGATAGCAAACCTCACACTAGCGTTCTCATCAGGCACATACTCTGGTATTACGCTCTGCACCGTCAGGGACCTCCCTGCTGACACACACACACACAGCACTCCTGCTCGCATCCACACAGGTGTATTTAAGCCACATGCCCATACGTTTGTATTATATTAGGCCTTTCTTATCAGCTTTTTAATTAATTTATTTTTGTAACCTGGAAATGGCGACGAAGATGACGACAGTGTGAAAATTTGCCCATAAACTCAGCTGAGCGTGCCTCTGATACCTTACCGAGATACTTCAAACTCTCAAATCCTGTGGTTTTGTGCTTTAGAAATTTGTCCTTGATGTGGCAACATCTGGAGTTGCTTTTAATTGATTTTATTCAGTTATTTCTTTTTTTATCTTTATTTGTAAAAAGTCCACACCATATTTGGAAATGCTTCCATTTTTTTCTGCCAACGCTCACTGAAAACGAATTACTTCCAGCTGCTTTGTTGCTGCAAATGCCAATTTTATCACCCCATAATACGTCCATTAATAAGTACCATAACACTAAAAAAAGCCAAATTTTCGTATTTAAAGGAATAGTTCACCCAAACATCAAAATTTGCTGAAAATGTCCTCATCCTCAGGCCATTCAAGATGTAGATGAGTTTGTTTCTTCATCAGATTCGGAGAAATTTAGCATTGGATCACTTGCTCACCAGTGGATCCTCTACAGTGAATGGGTGCCGTCAGAATGAGAGTCCAAACTGGTTTAAATTTGAATCATCTTGATGGATTTGTTTATAACAAACATGCAGCTTTTCACTTCATAATATATTCATAATATCCAAATCTGTTCTGATGAAGAAACGAACTCATCTCTAACTTAGATGGCCTGAGGTTGAATAGTTAATTGGTTAGCCACCAATTTTACGGCCACGACGACAGTCTCATTTCCACATGATAGGGATTCTGTTCATCTCGCTGTGCAGCTCTCTTCCAAGTGCTCTTCCCTACGCAGTGTAGACGTTTATCGGAGGCAGATTTCCTCCGGCTATACTTTTGTATTTGACTGCAGCATTACTAACATTTGAAAATGGGAGAAAAAAAAAATCAGTATAATGTAAAGTGAATATATACGTATGTAAATGCATTGAAAATATTTAAACATTTATCAGTATATTTCAGCTTTGTTTTAGGGATGATTGTATATATGATCGATGAACCAATTTAAGTATATCGCCTGTGTTTACAACCTCTGAGTTGAGTGGCAATTGTTTTAAGTGTAATATTCTCATAGAATTGGCCGCTTACGTGGACTGATATCCTACAACTACTGATTTTATTCCAAATAAGATGTAATTTCAGCGGTTTACATTGGCTCCTATTTGAATCATATTTTAAAGCATTTGTGGAAATGTATGCCAAATCTGACAATTAACTCTGTTCTTTAATTTTTTACTTCAGTTCCCAATGAATCACATCAAGTTCTGTCCCTGTTTTTCTTGTTCAGTGTTCTAATTCAATTCATGTTGACTGAAGTCTATAATTTCCCTCCATCTTAAAGGAATAGTTCACCCAAAAATGAAAATATACTCTGGTTATCTTAAGATGTAGATGAGTGTTTCTTCATCAGAACAGATTTGGTGAAATGTAGCATTACATCACGAAAGCAATATTATGGACTCGTATTTTAGCTGGAAGCAATGGCAAAAAAAAACAAAAAAAAACATTAATGATGGATTTGTTTCTTTTAGATGTTAACTGTTAGACTGGAGTCATGTGGATTATTGTGATGTTTTTATCAGCTGTTTGGACTCTCATTCTGACGGCACCCATTCACTGCAGAGGATCCACTGGTGAGCAAGTGATGGAATGCTACATTTCTCCAGATCTGTTCTGATG